AGGCTCCTTTTGGGTGAGACTCTGCATCTAAGGAGCCAGCAGGGTGGGGCCTTCGCTTCACCCAGTGGGGCTTTTGTTTTTCATAGAGTTTTCTGGAAAATGTCCTGCACTTCCTGCAAGACCCCAGATAGTTATTGGCTCCTGCGTGTACAGCCTCCAGACTAAATGCCTCCAGGGTTACGTGTAGTTTGGCTTCCCAGCTCTTGGGCTTTGTCCCTTGCAGCCTTCTAGACTCGCTCTTCTGTTTTGTTTTGTTAGATGGAGGGCAAATGGGTAACAGCAGCATGTGATACCTCCTGTCCCCTCTTGGTGCTTAGTGAATAAGAAATGTCCCATTGGCTGTCAGCTGCCCCTGTAATGTTCTAGCTTTTCCTATGCCCTTGGTAGCTAGGGCCACTCTGGAGGTAATGGAATTGTTACAGTGGTTATCTAGGTGTCCCTTAAGAACTTCATGAATGGTGCTTTTGAAAAGTAATTGGATTATGGGAGTGTTGTAGCTGGCTTGCTGTTACGAGGTGAGGTCCTGTCCAAAGAGGCAGGTCATTGGGTGTGTGACCTGGAAGACTCTCTTCCTCTCTGGTTCTTTCCTTCACACTCTAACTTCCTGGCTGCTGTGACATGGCTGCCGCTTTCCCCTGCCCTGGCCCTTCAGCCCAGCCTGTGTAACTATGTAAGGAGTAAGACTTCTAAAATGTGAGCCAAGGGGCCGGGGAGATGGCTCAGTAGAATAAGCGCTTCCCTGGCAAGCGCAAGGGCCTGAGTTCAATCCCTGGTTCCGGAAAAAAAGAAAGAAAGAAAAAAGTGAGTCAAAATAAACCTCTCCTTCTTTAAGTTGTGAATGTTGGGTATTTTGTCCCAGCATTGAAAAAGGTGACTAAAAGACAGGTCCTTTTCCAGAAAAGAGTATAGGGTGGACATGATGCATCCTTCTGCCATAGGTGACTTCAGGCTTTGGAAAAACAGGGACCAGAATCTTTGCTTTAGTCACAGTTGTCCTCAGCTTGTGGTTGGGTACTGTGAGCTAAGGCAGTTTAATTAGTATGGCAGCAGGACCCAGAGTCTCTCTACCTCTTAGCTCCAGTCTGCAGATGAGAAGTCAGGATTGTGGCCAGCTTGGCCCCCCACTTACAGCTAGGATCCTGAGACAGAGTGGTGAGGCCGGGGCAGTGATGACAAGCAGGGAGGTGCTGTCGGGATCCACGAGCAGCGTGGCTAGCCATGTGGACTGTCTGCAGAAGGTGAGGCCGCAGCCCTCCTGGTGACCTGGTCCGGTGTCTGGCCTTGGAGAACACTACGCTTCCAGGATGTGTGATATTCTTCCTTTACAGGTTGGGTCCAGCTGGATTTAGTGGCATTGTGTTAGCAATTTAGGAAAGAAAGCTGATAACTGGGGAATATCTGACCTATTAGAGAATGTGAATTTTCAGTGGGTGGAATCAGTGAGCTGTTCTCAGCCCTGGGTGTCACCTGGTGGCTTTTCCTGCTGCCCATCTCCACACTGGGAGTGATGACTGAGGCAGCCCAGCCATATCGCACCATGGGTCCTGTACTGGATGCGCTGGGTGTCTTTGTTAATGTTATGGTCTGCCTTGATGTGGTTGAACATGCACAGGTCAGTGGATTTCAGTGAGGACATTACTTTCCCTGGCTGTGTGACCTCAGTGGGTTGGTTACTTGACCTTAGTATGCCTCAGTTTCCTCAATTGTCAAACAGTAGTCACAGTATCCTCCACCCTCCCTCATATGGTGAGTACCTGTAGAGCTCTTCCTGCGTGGAGGCCAGTGCGGTGTCATAGGGATATAGGACAGTAATCAGTTTTAAGTGATCTTGGTCTTAGGTGGAGGGAGGACAGCATGTAAACAGCCGATAAATGGGGCAGAGCAGAGATAGTGCTGTGAATTCAGAATTGAGGTGGGAGGGTAGCGACAGGGAGGAGGCAAATGGCACTTCATGGAATCCCAAGGCAGGGGGTATCCTGCTGGGCACGGAATGAAGAAGGCTCCCAGGCCTCAGTAAATGGACAGGGAGGTGGGTGCAGGGCCATGCAGAATGGCTTATTTAGGCCAGGTGCAGGGATTTTCACTGTTGGGGCAGAGAGTACCTGGAATGTGAAGAGGAACCCATGTTCGTGGGACAGGTAGCTTTCAGGCCTCACAGGGACTAGTACATCCCAGTGCCACAGTCAGTAGAAGACTAGGTCTATCTGTGTGGGGCTCTTCTCTCTGCCTTCATAGCACGGAGGGGAGAAGGCCTTTTGCCCAGGATGGCCTTTCTGTAGGAGGTCTGAGCTGGTGAGATCCTATATTAAAATAAAAAATAAATAACGAAGGGCTGAGTATTTAGCTCAGTGGTAGAGCATTCCAGTGTCTGATTCCTAGCACCACACACACGAGAAAAAGGCAGTAGGTGTGGTAGCTGTTGGGGAATCCCAAGGCTTGAGTTTAGGTGCAAATTCTATCAAGGATCTAGGCCAGGAACTTCTGACCTGGTGGGTCCCAAATTCTGGTCTCTGATAAACTGGATTTGCGTGTGTGCGTGCGTGTGTGTGTGTGTGTGTGTGTGTGTGTGTGTATAAGAATTTTATTATGGGACCTAGGGAAGTTTTTGCACCCTACTAATAGACAAAACGTTTTTAACACCTTCTTCAACCTAATGAAGCACATACTTCCGGCTTCATCTGCATGGCTGCAAAATGACACTATGAAGAACACTTTCTTTTCCTATGTTCTTTGGTGCAGTTATACAGGATTGAACCAGGGCCTGGCTCACACTAGGCAAGTGCTCTCCATCTTCCCCACCACTATACATTCCTCTTTATACTCCTCACAACTGAGCTTCACCGCCATTCCTTTTTTTTTTTTTAATGAATATATAATTTTTTAATATTTATTTATTTTGTGTCTGTGTGTGGCCAGCTCAGCCCACCAGGGGGCGGGGCTGGCTGGCATGTGGTGCTGGGGGATTGAACCAGGGTCCCTGTGCTTTGTTTAGCTTAGCTTGTTCCAAGTAGGTGCTTTAGACCACTAAGCCATCTCACCAGCCCACCACCATTCCTTTTTAAAACAATTTTTGAGCCTGGGTTGTTCAGGCTGACCTTGAACTTGTGGTCCTGGGATAAATGTTTTTGAAGCAAGAAAGAGAAAAGCATTTTGAGGGGCATTAATGGCAATATGTTTTCCTGTGATAAAGTTTTTAAAAAACTTAAATAATTACCTATATTTCAGTCATATCTCATGTCTGTTGTAGAAAACTTTTATGAAACATAAATAAAAGAAAAAGTAATAATTACCTACTGTCTTTTTCTCGTGTGTGTGGTGCTAGGAATCAGACTCTGGAATGCTCTACCACTGAGCTAAATACTCAGCCCTTTGTTATTTATTTTTTATTTTAATATAGGATCTTTCCAAGTTGTCAGGCCAGGCTAAAACTTGTGATTATCCTGCCTTAGCTTCTCCAGTGCTGGGGTTATAGGTGTGTGTAACCCTACCTAGTTTACCTGTTACTTTAAGGGCATTATATAGAATAATGGGTTTCTTTTTTTTAATTAAAAAATATTATTGGCACATGTTTGCAGTAATACCTGTTACCTCTTAACCCAGAGTCTTTAGTTTGTAGCATTTGTTCCTTTGAGGTTACAGAAACCTAAAACTGCACTGAGCCTTTGGAGCCTCCAAGATGTGGTCCGTTGGACTGAGAGTGCTATGGAGAAAAATAAAACTGTGGTGGGAAAGGGGGAGGTTGTTCTACAAGCAGATTGGGAGTAGAAATCACAGATTTCAAAGGAGCGGTCAGGAAAGGCCTTGCTGGAAAGGGATGTGAAGTGGAGAATTAAGGCAGAGCCTGTGGGGCAAAACTTCATAAGCAGAAGCAACAGCAAGTACAAAGATCCTGAGGTCCAGGTGCTATATAAGGCCCCCAAACCACCATGCTGTGAAAGGGCAGGCTTTTGAAAAGTGTTTGGATTGTAATGTTGCTCACTTGCTGTGAGACGGGTAAACCTGGTCTGAGAGGCAGGACACAGGGCAAGGCCTGGAAGCGTGTACCATATTTCCCTTCTGTCCTCTGCCCTTTGCTTTCTGCTTCTTGGATGCCTTGGGTCAGAGCAACTTTCCTCTGCCCAGGCCCTTCTACTGTACATTAGAGCCAGTCAGCTATAAACTGTGAGCCAAAATAAACCTTCCTCCACTAAATTATAGGTGTCAGATATTATGTCAACAGTAAGGAAAGTGACTAAGAATGTAATAACGTGTATAAACTAAAAGAATAATTCTAGGATTTTAGGGCTATTGTAGTGATAGGTTACTGTGATACTGCTGTATTCAGTGGTGCATTCCCAGACTTCATCTTACTTCAGCTGCCCAGCAGCATGGGCCTTCATGGTCATTCTCCCCTTGGAAATGGGAGCTTATCTTGGCTTGATCATATCTACAAAGACCCTATTTCTGTCTGGGTGTGGTGATGCACACCTGTGATCCTATTATTCTGAGACACTGAGGTAGGAGGATTGCAAGTTTGAGTTCAGACTGAGCAACTTAGTGACCTTAGGAAGACTGCCTCAGAAACTTTAAGAAAAGGCTAGGGATGTAGCACAGTGATAAGAGTGCTTTCTACCAACTGGGAAACCCTGGGTTGAGTTGTCAGAAGTTTGGAAAATAAACCAAACCCATATATCCAAATGAGGTCACATGCACAGATATGGGCTAGGACTTGGACGTGTCTTCATGGTGGCCAGAGCCCAACCAACCACAGAAAGAAATGATATTGGAATTGAAAACTGGCTGGGTTTATAAGCAGGAGAGACTTAGGTGTTGAAGCTGGTGGTGTGCAAAGGCTAGGGCTGAAGCCAGAATGGCTGTAGCAGAGTTAGAGGGACAACCCGCAGGCCCAGCCTATGCTAGCTTCTTGCAGCCTTCTTTAGGAGCTGTTTGTTGGTCACCACATGTTTTTCCTGGGCTGTGGCTGCCTCATGATTTACAACTGTGTTTCCTTTCTTGAACAGGAAACTACTTTGCTTCACACTTTTTCATGGGAGGTGAGAAGTTTGACACCCCTCACCCTGAAGGTTACCTCTTTGGAGAAAACATGGATCTGAACTTCCTAGGCAGCCGCCCTGTCCAGGTGGGTCTCCCTGAGGCTGGCTGTTGACTTTGGGGTTGGGAGGCCCTGCCAGCATCTAGTTACGGAGATGTACAGGGACCGAGTCACCTCCAAAAGGGCAGAATTGCAGCTGAGCAAAGCTGGATAGGCATGTGAGTTGGAGTGTGTCCTGGTACTGTCAGTAAGAGGTCACATAGCTGGGATGGGTCATTGAGAGACAGAGCAGCCATTCATGGACTGGTGCCTCCCTCCAGGCTACAGAAAGTCACACGCTGATTGCAGGCCTCTTGGATAACTTTCTTTGAAAAGCAAAAAGAACACCCACATTCTCTAAAATAGCAGGCATGAGATGTGACCCCACCTCCCAGAGAAATGGAAATAGCTGTTAGGTGCTTTTGAGTAGTTGCCAGAGAACTGCATGTTCAAGCATTGCTATCTGTTTATTCCACACACAGAGTGTGTGCCTAGGATTCTTTGGGGCTGACAACAGAAGTCAGACCTTGCCTCTGTCCACATGTGTGTCTATGTGTGGTGCAGACCAGAGAGGAAAACATTGGATGAATAGGTAGCAAGATTGTGGCTGAGCTGTGGTAGATTGGGGCAGAGCCTCCAGGAGGATCAGGAAGTCAGTGGGGCTGGAGTACCCTGTGCCAGGCCCCCGGCAGGCTGTGAATCTGAAGGCAAGTAGGGCTCTGTAGCTTGGCTTGAGAGCAGAGCTGGAGGTAAGGGCTCAGGCCCCGGTGGGTGAGGTGTTGGGGTATGTATCTGTTCCTTTTCCACCAGCAGCAATAAGAGCTCATCCTACCAGCAGCAGCAGCAAAGCTTGAGACCAAGCCTTGACCACTTCCCTTAGGGATTTCTCTAGCCTGGTTAGTTGCTAAGGGTTAATTCTTCATGCAGCTTAGGATGGAAGCTCATTGGTCAGATCACTTGGGACACCACTAGTCCCAGCCCATCTGCTGCCTGCCTGACCATGGTTTCCTTCAGTGGAAATGGAGAGTAATGCAAATCATATACCTGGTGTCCAGCACTGTCCTCATGTGGAGGCCAGAGCCCAAGAATGTCTGTCTTTAGGGATCTGGGACCACTGTTCCTATGATCCCTGTTTCTTGTCTTCTCCTGGTCCCCAGGGAGTCACAGGGAATCACTGTGGGTTTTGCCTTCTAGTTTCCCTATGTCACTCCTGCTCCCCATGAGCCTGTGAAGACACTGAGAAGCCTGGTGAATATCCGCAAAGACTCCCTCCGACTTGTGAGGTAACTCTGTCCTGTCTTGCTGGGGTCCCAGACCACAGTCCATTGGGTATAAAGGTTCTAGCTCAATGCTTTGGAAGTAGAGGGTTTATTGAGTAGGCTCAATCTCTGCTCCCGTGTGTGGCATCAGAGGCCATAAGCAGGAACTTGATTCTTCAAGCCAGGAGTTCTCATCTGGGCAGTTGGGCCTCAGAGACCCTGAGCAATGTCTGCAGACAACTGAGCAGAGGTCAGAGAAGTTGCTGCACTTCTGCATTGCCCAGACACTCTATAGTCAGGAATGATCTAACTCCAGATGTCAATAGGTTGAGAAAGTGCTTTAAAACTGTATGACTGAAGGGATCTGGGATATTTCTAAGCCAAAAGGAAGAAAAGGAAGCAGATCCTGAATTATTCACCTTATGTCTAAACAGGGAGTGGGGCTCTAATGTGCTAGAAAAAATGTGTGCAAGCAGGTGATTCAGAGGCCTGTGGCCGTACACACAGCTTGCTTTTATGCTATGACTCCTGACTTTTGCCTCCTCTGCCTCCTTGAGTAGGTACAAAGATGATGCTGATAGTCTCACCGAGGGTGGCGAGAAGCCTCGAGTGCTCTACAGCTTGGAATTCACTTTTGATGCCGACGCCCGAGTGGCCATCACCATCTACTGCCAGGCAGTGGAGGAGTTCCTAAATGGCATGGCAGTGTGAGTCCCTGGCACAACCAACTGCTCAGGCTCTGGGGCTCAGGTGTCATTTGTGAGCTTTCTTTCTTTTTCTTTTTCTTTTTCTTTTTTTTTTTTGAATAGAGTCTCCCTGTGTAGTTTAGCCAGCCTTGAACTTGCTGAACCCAGGCTGGGTTTGAATTTGTGATCCTTCTGCTTCAGCCTCCTTAGTGCAGGTATTATAGATGCCTAGTACTGTTACTGGCTCATATGGAGGTGGGGGGGGCGTGTTTTGCCCCCTTCGGTCTTTTTGAGATAGAGTCTCTGTCTGCAGTTTATGCTGGCCACCAACTGATGACTTCATAGCCTAGGCTAGATGTGAACTTGCAGCAGTCTTCCTGCCTCAGTCTCCCAAGTGCTAGGATTACAGGCATGTGCCACCATGCCCAGCGTATCTATACTGTTAAACATAAGAAAAGGCTGGCAAGATAGCTCAGTGGACTAAGCGCCTACTTAGGCAAGCACAAGGACCAGGTTTGATCCCCAGCCCTGCCCCTGGGCTTGATAAGCCATCAAGACTGGGCGCAATGGTGCATACCTGTAATCCCAGAGTTGGGGAGGCTGAAAACAGGAGGGTTACTATGAGACCAAGCTGCATAGTGAAACCCTGTACCAAATACATGAAAGAAACAAAGAGGCAAAGAGATGAATGAATGAATGAATGAATGAATTAAAGAATGAAAGAAAGGAAGGAAAGAGGGAAAGAAGGCTGGCCAAATATCTCAACAGATTAAAGCACCTGCAAGGAGGCTCAGGGGCAGGAGGTTCAATCCCCAGCCTGCCATGCCGGCCCTGCCTGCAGAGTGCACTGAGACTGCAATTGAGACTGGGCATGGTGACGTGTACCTGTAATCACAGCTCTTGGGAGGCTGTGAACAGGCAGATCACTACAAGTCTGATCTAGTAGTGAGACCCTGAATACCCTGTAGGCCCTTCCCTAAAATACATGAAAGAAAGAAAGAAAGAAAGAAAGAAAGAAAGAAAGAAAGAAAGATAGATAGATAGATAGATTTCTTTGTTCATACTGTGCTCTGAACACTTCACTTTTTTTTCTTTTTGGTGCTGGGGATTGAACTAAGGTCTTTACATATATTAAGCATATTTACTTCCACTGCCCTTTGGGTTTGTTTGAGACTTGCTCATGGTAGGCTTTATCAGTTATTAATACAGTCTGTGATCCTTCTTTCTGGAAGGGGTATAGGACTGAAAGTTCCAAGCCTATGATCATGGCTTGGTCTTTTTGGTGGCCAGTCCTCTCTAAGAGCTCACCAGAATTACTGCCTTAGAACTGAAGTGTTTGTGTCATCCAGGAAATTGCAAGGGATTGGGAGTTCTGTCCCTGGAAACAGAGGCAGAGACCAAATATATATATTTTTTATTATGTCATAAAACCACATTTGAGCTTTGGGAGATTTTTTTTTTTTTTTTTTTGAGAGGTTTAGCTGAAATGAGGATCCTGCTGGCCCCAGAAGTTTGCAACCTTTAACTTCAGCACAACCATGGCAGGGCTGCCTAAGCCTCTCAGGCCCCTCAAGGCCCAGGTGGGCTTACAGACAAGCCAGGATTGGATCTGGGTGGGGCTGAGAGCTGTGACTTTGAGTGCTGCCTTGCTTTGTACCTGCCAAGTAGCTTAGGACATGCAATAGCTTGTGCCTCAGCTTTCTCAGATGGGAATGAGAGTGGCTGGGGCCTCTCCCCTGGGGTTGGTGTCACCCATGCAGGTGCTCCTAAGAGGCCCATGTGAGTGCTTGAAGCCCGCTGCTGGTAGAGGCAGTCGTAGTGGGGCTTCCTAAGGAGCATTCCACCAGGGGAGGCCACCAGAGGCCCCATTGTTCCTCTTGCACTCTGGTCCTGGGCTCTCTCTCCAGCAGCGGTGCTCAGGAAGCAGGGACCTTCATCTTGATAGTCTTCCTTGTGGCTCTCAAACACTTAACGCTTGTTCCCTTTTGGGGGAAGGATCCCATGAAGCACAGAACTACCTCTCATCTCTTTTAATTTTTTTTTTTTTTTTTAAATTTTGAGACAGGGTCTCTAAGTTGCTCAGGCTGGCCTTCTTCAACTTGCTATCATTCTGTCTCAGTGTCCCAAGTAGCTAGGATTACAGATGTATGACACCCTGCTCCACTACTTTTTTAATGGCACAAAATGATACATGAGTATATATTTAATATAAACTACTTCAGAGTTACAGGAGTAGAGTGACCAGTGTGAGTCCTTCTGCCCTTGCTTGTACCTCGTGTTGCCCTGCTGAAGCCTGGGGCAGTGTGGTGCTCCGATGTCTGCCCTCCTTGGGCCTCTGATGTGATTCCACACCATGGTGGTTGGCTAGGAGCACCTCTAGGTTCTGAGATATTCTTGGGCTCAGCCAAATGGGGAGGAGCCTCAGGTTCTGGGGAGGTGCCCTGGAGATATCCGCGAAAGGAATGAGAGTCAGAGTCCAATGGGTCTGGTATAAGCAAGTGGCTTACCACCCTCATCTCAGTAGCCCATATAGCTCTGCTGCTCTGTGTGCTGTGTGAGACAATCAGTGGGCCAGCTACAGTTATCCTTGGGTTGTGCTCCCCTGGATAACAGTAGAACTGCCACATTTATCCCTTTTTGAGATGTGGCTTGAGGTCTGTTGCCCCTTCCAACTTGCTGGCTTTAGTAATGACAAAACCAATTCAATAGGACAAAGAAACAAGGAGACCTAAACTAGGGTGCCATGCCTGGGAACATAGACCCTTGCCAACTGGAAATGTTCTTTCCTTGGTTTGGAGGGCAGGTAGCACTCTGGTCCTTCCTTGACCCCCTTCACATTTCTCATAGCAAGGAAATGGAGGCTCAGAAAAAGGGATGTGTTCAACTGTGAGAGAAGACCTAGGTCTGTTTGAAAGCAGCCTCCATGGCTGGGGCCTCTTTCCTGAGCTCCCTCCCACAGTATGATGACAAAGGCAGGGTCTCTCTTCTCTGTGCACATGACAGTGTCATCCCTAGCCTCCTAGAGTCTAGAGAGTGTTCTTTGTACCGAAGACCCAAATAATCCCCAAGACAGGGAAGGTGTAGGGGACAGAGGAAGTGTTAAGGGTTGTGTGTTGGATTTCTGAGTGGAGGATACCAGAGTTTGTCAGGACTGGAAATGTGGGTATCCTAGAACCCAGGTGTTCTTTGCTAGGAGTCTGCTCTAGGGATTCTCATGTGTGGGATGTGAGATGCGTGTAGCAAAGTGATTCTTAAAGCACTTCTGGGAAAAGCAAGAAAATGGAGACCACCTGGTGTCCTCTGAGTCTCTGTGTGACTCAGTAAAACAGTAGTGGAGCCGTGTGGTGTTCAGGGGATGTGGCACCTATGTGTTGGTGGTGGGACAGCTTTAGAAAGGGAAAGAGCAGAGTGTAAGTGGCTACTGCTTGGGTGCTGTGCATGGACAATTCAAGAGTCATCCCAAAGGCCGGCCCAATAGCTCAGTGGATTAAAGCACCTGCAAGCAGGCGCAGGGGCTGGGGGTTTGATCCCTAGGCCTGCCATTCCGGCCCCGCCCCCAGGGCACACTGAGATAGTAATTGAGCCTGGGTGTGATGGTGTACACCTGTAATGCCAGCTCTTGGGAGGCTGTAAACAGGTGGATCACTCTTAAGTCTGATCTAGTAGTGAGACCCTGAACACCCTATATACCCTTCCCTAAAATTTAAAATAATAATAATAATGATAATAATAATAATGTTGATGAAAACAAGAGCCATTCCAGGGGGCTCTTCTGGAGCAGGGGTGCAGGGATCGAGTGTGAGGGCTGGAAGGGGAAGTCTATGTACTATATTCATTCAGAAAACGTAAACAAAAAGCCCAATAGACAGATGTCCCATGTCTGGGAAGGTAGTAGAAGAATCAGGCAGGTGTGAGCTCTGGAAGAAACTGTCACCAGGCAGGATTGGGCAGAGCCACGTGGCCAGCAGAGAAGCTGTGGGAGCCCTCTGAGGAGCAAGGGCACTCTGGCCAGATCAGGCAGGAAGGCCCAAGAGTGAGCATGAGCTTTGACACTGCAGTGGTCTCACTCTTCTCTGCTACCCCAGGTACAGCCCCAAGAGTTCGGCCTTGCAGTCGGAGACCATCCACTATAAGAGGGGAGTAAGCCAGCACTTCTCACTGCCTTCCTTCAAGATTGACTTCTCTGAGTGGAAGGATGACGAGGTAGTTCTTGGCAGAACCCTTCCTCTCCTGTGTTCTTTCCATGGGGAGGGCATGGGTTTGGGGCCTGTTGGTGAAGTCCTCCCTGTTGGTGAGTGCTAGGAGTGGTATCAGGAGAGGGACCAAGGTGCCTGGTGTCAGAGCAGCCATCAAGGTGGTTGGGTCCTGGCTTTGGGAGGGGTGAAAATGGAGCCTCAGCATTATCATTGGTTCTGGGAAATAAGAGGATGTGGTTGCTACATTGACTTCAGCCCCTGAGTGTAGGCTTTGTGGGGGCAAAAAGAAGGGATTCCTACATTGCTGTCAGCCCAGGACAGCAGTACAGCACTGTCCATTAAAACTGGATGGCATTCTTTTAACCCTTTTATTTTTACTCTTTTTCTAAATTATGGTATGGCCAACTCTGTCTGTACTTACAGTCCTTTTCAGAGGCCCATTGGTGGGTTGCCAGTCTCCTCTACCCCTTTGCTCCCCTTCTTTGCCCTTTGCCTTAATTCCCAGTGTCCGGCTTCTGTCCTTTTGCAGAGGGGAAACTGAGGTTTGGGCCAAGGTTTGCTCACACTAAACAGGTGAGGAACCAGACTTTTCCCTTGTGGTCCAGAGTATGGCCCTGTGCAGTGCCTCTCAGCCAGTGTCCTTCTCTGCTGATGTAGATGGGCCCCTCAGGCACCTTACTCCCTCATGCAGCCCCCTGTACCTATGCCTCGAGCTGGCCAGTTCTGTCCACATGGACATTGGTCTCTGTCTCCTGAGCTCCATGTGATGATGACCCAGCCTGTGACCTTCCCTCAGGAGTATTGTGGAGACAAGCCTGTGTGGACTTGGGTTGCAGATTCTCTTGTGTGGATAGGGTAGTTGAGAGTGGAGCTTGTGGTCTTAAAGTGGCAGTTGTTGCACTTCTCTCTGCCTGTGCAATCCCAGCTAAGTATGGCAGCTCTTGGAATCCTAGAGGTAGGGGAGAGGAGGACTCAGCTCTTTGGCCCCACTGCAGGAGCCTGAGCTGGGACTGCTATTACTGGTCTTTTCTCTTGTTTTTTTTTTTTTTTTTTAAATTGGTACATATTTGTAGGACATAATAATTATACCCTTCATTGGGAGTTGGTACATGTACGTAAAACATCTTACATTGGTTTTTGTCACCTTCCTTCTCTCCTACCTCCATCTCTTGGGGCCCTTTCTTTTTTATTCTTTTATTTTTTTTGGCGGAACTGGGGATTGAACTCAGACCCTTGCACTTGCCAGGCAAGCACTTACTCTATTGAGCTATCTCCCTGGCCCCAGGGACCCTTTCATTTTGATGTTGCTTCCATTCTCTGCTCTTTAGTTTTTAACGCTTTGCATGATATAATTCACATGCCGTACAGCCCATTCATTCCAAATGTACATATATAGGTTGGTATTTTATAGTATGCTCATGGTTGTACAACCAGTTTCCTTCCTTCCAGTAAATCTTTTTGAGAATAAACAAATACATGGTGTCTGTCAGATATAGCTCATGGCAATCAAAGCTTCATCCTTCACAGCTCCTGTATAACAAGGAGTCAGGTAGACTGAGGCTCGCCTGGTGACTGGCCTAATACAGTGGGCTTGCTGATGTGGAGAAGATAAGAGCCAGTGTTTACTGGGGGCCCCCTACACATGGGGGTTCAGGGAAGCCTTTTCTGAGGCCCCGGACAGGAGGTAGCCAGCAGGGCAAAGGGTGAAGACCAGGATCTGCAGGGCCTAGATCTGTGCCAGCGGGAAGGTGGGTCTGTTGCAACAGTGAGCCTAGAGCCACAGCTGAGACCAGGCTCACTTTTATGGACCTTTTGAGCTACAAGCGGAACATCTTTTACCTGGGAACAAGAACAGCAAGGAGGTTTCTCCTGGATTTCTCACTCACCGTGTGCTCTCTCTTGGACTCTGGTGAGAGCCAAGCCAGGTGCCTTTCTTCTAACACTTCAGCGTTGATATGACCCAGCTCTCCACGGGAAACACCTAAGAGAATCAAAGCAGAGACTCAAACATATTTTTATTTAGTGATCATAACAGCTCTGTTCATGATGGCAGTGATGTGGAAACAGCCCAGAGAATGGACAGACAGAATGTGGTCCTTCCGTATGGTGAAGAATGTGCAATCACGAAAAGGAATGAAATGACGATATACACCGCAGCATGGATGAACTTCAAAAGAAGCTAGCCACAGAAGGCCAAAACTGCGTGATTCCACCTACGGAAATGTTCACAATGAGGCACATTCACCGATAGGAAAGAATGGCTCCTAGGGGGTATGGGGAGGGAGTGGGGCATTATTGCCTAATTCATACAGAGTTTCTGTTTTTAATTAAAAACAAACCAACCTTGGGAAACAGTAGTGGTGATGGTTACCTGACACTGAGTGTCGTTGACACCATTTTGTCCCCATCCTCTTAGCTTTTCCTGATGCCATTCTGCTTACCAGCTTTTCCTCCATCTCGGTGTTTGACTGTCATGAGTCCTGACCAGTGTCACCTCCTTTTCTTCTCAGCTGAACTTTGACTTGGACCGGGGCGTGTTTCCAGTGGTCATCCAGGCCGTGGTGGATGAGGGAGATGGTGAGCAGTGTTGGCCTTTCCCCTTCCTGCTGACTTTTGTCTGTGGGCCCTGAAGGGAGGAGGCCATTCCTGGGATCCTTCCCCCCTCAGCCAGCAAGAGGAGTCCCTTCCAAAAGGGATAAAGGGCTGTGGAGTGGCCATGTGTGGCAGATTGGAGGACAGGGAGGTTGGGGAGACCAGGAGCTGTTGTGGGATGAGGGTGAGTTCTGGAGAAAGTGCTGGTGTTGCCCTCAGGTATGGCTCTGGGAAACCGTGCTGGAGGGACAGGGGTGCAGGAGGCTAGGCAGGTAGGTGGCAAGTCCACTTTGCCCTGCTCTTCGCCTTGACTGCTCTCTGCTCTGTGGTCTCTGTCCTCTTTCAGTTGTGGAAGTAACTGGCCATGCCCATGTGCTTTTGGCTGCTTTTGAGAAGGTAAGTGTCATCCTAGTCACTGTCCTGGGAGCTGGGACAGAGGAGTGGGTTTTTGAGACCAGAAGTCTGAGATATGGGGATCAGGGCCCAGGTATCAGTCCCAGGCAGGTGAAAGATTCTCTGGTCATTCCTTGATTCCCAGGAGACAATCTAAGGCAAAGTGTCCCCACTCAGAAGCTTTTCAGAGGGGACTTAGAGTGGCAAGGGGAAAACATTCTGGAATGAGGCTAGCACTATAGAACCTTAGAATCTGCTCACACAGGTCAGGATGTTCACATGGATGAGGTCCGTTTGCCATAGACTAATAATATACTCGGATGTAGAAAGTGTCAAGATTGTTACCTCTTCCCTGGCCTGGCCCTTTCCCACCAGGCCTGACATTCTCACATGCCACCTGGGACCTGTCATAGTCTCCCCCCCGGAGCACTGCTCTTTCTGACTTGCCTGTGCTCTGCGCCTTCCTGTCTCTGGTTGCAGCACTCTGACCCTGCAGGGTCATGCAGGACTTCTTCCAGTGGGAGGCCATTCCTGCTCCACTTGGCCAAACACTATCCTTTCTTGTTTGAGTCTTCAAGGCCAAACTTGTGTCTGATTGATTTGTCATTGGTGCCTCAGTTGGGCATGACACGGGGCAGAAGATGATCAGTAATAGTGGGATGAATGAGGTTCTCCTGCCTTCTAGCCTGACCCCAGGCCTGTGTAGAACCCTGCTCACTGAGAGGCTTGCTGAGGTTAAGGAGTGTGTGATAACTCCTCCTCTTCCCAGGCCACCCTTCCTTTGCTTTTTGACTTTTCCTAGCACTGTGCAGTGGTGAAGTGTTTCAGTGCCAGGCTGGAGTTGAGGAGACCAGACCTGGTGGGGAATAGGTTCTGGCTTGGACTTTTCACCATGCCTGTGGCCTCTGGCATTGGTCCTAGCCCTGTAAGCAGCTGCAGCCTCTGAGTGTCTTCCCTGCAGAATCTTCTTGTCTGGGTCTGGGGCCATTTGACTTGTTTTTGGGATCAGGGCTGTAGACAGCACTGAGGAGTCTGTGCAGAGGCCGGCCTCCCCTTCTGCAGCTCTGAGCCCCCCAGCTGTGCTTCCTAAGGCTGGCCTGGTTGGTCCAAGCTACTGGACCACATAGTCAACCTTGTGAAAGTCTGTGCGTGCCGTGCCCTACTAGATGACTGAAATGGATGCAAACATAAGAGTTCAGCTTTAACATTGGGACAGATGGGACTTTAGGAAGCCTCAGAGAATGCTGTATGGATCAGGACCTACTCTCATATCAGCATTCATGTGAACCAGGGCAGTGATGGTGATGAGTTGATCTTGGGAAAAGGAAGAAGAGTTAAACTACAGAAGGGTGTACTGCTACCCTCAGTTTATTAGTGAACCAGTAACTGCAAACCCAGGAGCCCCTGGGCTTGTGTTATGTCCTGATGGAGAGAATTACAACCAAACTACATGTAAAGTGAATTGTGAGACATTTAATCTCACCAATTCTAAAACTTCCTATGCTGATGCAGAAGTTGACACAAGTTTAGAGGCGATGGGACCAGTGTATCCTTTCCACTTGTCCTGTGCAAATCATTCCTGGCTGTGATGCTCATGGGGCCATTGGCCACATGGCTTTCCAAGGGAAGCATATTCAGTACATGGAAACCTAGAGGGAGACTCACCAAGCCCTGCTTTTAACCAGGAGTGGGCAGTGAGGACAGAACAGAAAGTGCTGCTGTAAAACCTGCAAGCGCAGAGCTAGAGGGCGGTCTTACCACTTCGCACATGCTAGAATAACTTTGTCTCCATGTTCACATGGTATCTCTGAGAAAGTCCTGTCCTACCAAATGCCTTCCTTCATGCCCAGACCACATCAGAATCTCTTAGCGCAAAATTCCCATGTCATAGTAATCAACAAAAGCTAAGCACTTGACTCATGGCTTTTAAGGACAGCCTTGAGGTAGGAGGAAAGAATAGGACTTGGGAAAAAGATTGTCTTTAACTTGCAAAATGAAGCTTTCAACAGTGTCTCAAAGCCAGGAGACTTCTAGTTCCTACTCCCATGCCATTAAAATATAAAAATCACCCCCCTACACACAGATATGATAACTATTTACATATTTACATTTTTTTGGCTGAGGCAGATGGACTGTCTCTGGCAAACATTCCATTCTGTGCTTCAAATTTAGAGCCCAATGAGAAGCCACTTTATTTTTGTAGTCCTGTATTCTAGAAATTTCCCCCAAGAATCCACCAGCCTTACCAGACAATCCTGAGTGCTGGTCTTGATTTATAGAGCATAATTCATATAGTTGCAATATCTCAGATCTAATCCCGTAATTAATCTTGTCCAACTGTGAGCTGAGATTTCCCTAGATACTGCTGAGTACATTTGTTCTATTTTGTCTTACACTTTTGGCATCCTGAGCTGTTCTCTTTAGGTATACGTGGGCAGGTACTTGTGCAGTATTCTTACAAAAAGTGAGGCCGTCTGAGAGCAGGAATTTATTAGTTTTTGCATATGAATGATGCTTGGGATGTTGGGAAGCCCTGGTTGTCAGCTTGAGTGTATTGTTGGGGGGCACTGTGGGTATTCACTAGTGGAGCAGGGAGGAGCCCATCTATTTTTAGATGGTTCTCCAGGTAGTTTTGGAGCCAAGCTTGAGGACCATAGTTGGAGAAATCCTGGCTGGGCTCTTTAATCTTCATATTGTTCCCCCCCCCTTTTTT